GATGCGCGTTGAATGACCTATGTACCTGGCTTCACAGCAACAGCTGAACTGATATATACACATAAAAGTGGTCAGGTGCAGGATCTTGTCCTTTGGGCTTCAGCAGATCAGCGGGCGACTGGAGAACACTACTCTCAGTGTTGCCGCAGAGGAAGTTCTTCTTAAAGAGGTGAAAATTCCCCTTCTGAGAACGTCACTAAGTAGGTCTCCTTTGCAGTCGAGGTTCATAAAAAGTATTTTTTGTCATGGTAGGTGTCTGTTGCTTTTGGATTTTTTGTTTGATGTTTTTGTCTACGAATCTTGATGGGTAGCCGTTTTGTATGAAGATTTCTTTCAGGAAGTTTAGTTCTTCTTCCATGGTATCAGAGCTGCAGATGCGTCTGACGCGAGTGGCAAGAGATCTAATTAGGTTTCTTTTCCGACTAATTGATACCCGGCTATTGAAGCTTGTCAGTTGGCCGTTCCACGTGGGTTTCCTATGGATGGATCTTCTTAAAGTTCCGTCAGTTCTCCTTGTATGTTCAACATCAAGAAAAGGGATTTTAATTTCGTTTTCAATTTCTACAGTGAACTTTGTGACCGGATGGCATTTGTTGAATATTTGCAGTAATTAATTGAGATCGTGACCGTCATCACAGATAATAAAGATGTTGTCCACATATCTAACATACAATTGGAAATTGTCAATAGTTGATTTGAGTGGGCCGTTCTCGAGGCTTGCCACGAAGCAGTCTGCTAGTAATGGGCCCAGTGGAGATCCCATATCTTGTTGTCTGTAAATAACCTTGTTGAATGTGAATTGTACATTGAGTGTACATCTCGTTGTAGTTCTTTTAAACAAGTCGTCGAAGATCCTATGTTCAGGTGATTTTCGTCGATATAATGACAAATGTAAGAGACAGTTTCTGTGAGTGGAACGTTGGTAAATAGTGACTCAGTGTCGAGAGAGAGCATATTTTTGTTTTTTGCATTGATATCTTTAATGAAATCGACGAATTGGAAAGTGTCACGAAGCGAATAGTGGCACATTCGTTTTCGTACAGGTTCTAAAATATCAGCAAGCCATTTAGTTACTGGATGGTATGGGAACCTGACATATCCAGGATTGGACGAAGTGGGAGGTTGGCTTTGGAGATGAATAACATGATGCAACCGCAAGCTGGTGACAAATTGGCTCTTGTCTAAGACTAACACTGGCGAAACTAGTATATCCGACAGCTAACCAAGGCTCAAAAGCAACTGCTAATATACCAGTATATTAACTGCTTAATGACAGTAACATATGTAGATCTTATATAGTCAAAAGAAGTGAATATTTCCTGTTGAGATTGCCTTCGTCTAACAGACGTTATGTTTTGACGCTATTATTAAATGGGTGTTGACGTCATAATTACAAATGTACATAATAATGATTCATAGTCTTAATTTACTAATTAAATGACCTATCAAAACTTTCTTGTGCATCGGCGGCACAGCGGTTAGGACGCTCGCCGACCATGCACATGGTTCGAGGTTCGATCTCCGGCCACAGACGCATTCCATTACCTCGCTAGCCAGAAATAATCCTGCTAAAGAGAAAAGGTTAGGCATGAGGCTAGCAACACCATCCCGTAAAAAAAACACTGCTACAGAAACTTCAAGCTATTAGCCTGAAGCCCTGGGAACGTGAATGAAGAAAAAAATCAAAACTTTTTAACCACCACTAAAAATTCCTCCAGCAGTTTTTTATAAAGAAACTAAAGCTTAGCGTTACTTGTTAAAAAGAGGTAAATTATCCTACAAGGCTTTTGATTCGGTCAGTTCAACAAAGTAACCATACCATTTGGAACTAAGCTGTATAAATTCAACCTACTAAGGTAAACATTTGATAACCTAGAAGTAAAACGAATCAAACTTAAAAAATGCATCAATTCCTCGTAAACAATGTGTTATTCCTTAAAAATCTTTGGAATATAGAAATTTCCGTGTGTAAACAACAGCGAAGGGCTTTTATAAATCTGACTGGAAATAATCAACCAAATTCAATAACAGAAATGGTTAAATTGACCTGTAACTCAATTTCACAGTTCATTTGATGAGTAAATTTGCTCTTGTGTTTATTGATGCTTTGATAATCAGTATACCCGAGAAAATATTTTGTTAGACAGGTGTCTGAAATGTTCTCTAATGATGACGAAGTTTTGTTTATACAGTTCATTATATACAGACAATATAATATAATTTTGGGTTAATTTATTTTTGCTTTCTGACTATAAAAATCAATTCAGAAGAAAAAAATTGATTAGAGCGAATAATTGTTTTCACTAAATTCTTTCTTCTTCAGTCTTCACAAATATAAATCAGTTCATTTAAGCACAGAATAGCCGGTAAAAGCAAATTAGAATTATAGCAAAAAGTGTACTGTGGAACAAGTATGGTATGGAAAAAAACAGTCAGTTAGTTTTGCTAATCACTTGGAATAGGCATTATCAATAAGGAAAATTAGGTAGAATGACGTGAAATAATTCAATGGTGTGTGTTTGTGTAAATGTATAGTCAATAAAAGTAGAGGTTTCAAGGGTGAGTGTGATCAGGTGATGTGTTAGACGACATAAATACTACAGAAAAATAAACCAATAAATGGGATACACCAGACATAAGTTCAAGGGTGGCAAATAACAATAATAATAATAATAATGATGAAATAACAACAATGGTGTGCTGTAAACGTAAAGGTACCATCAGTGAATGATTATCAGGTAATAATGAATTTAATGAAATGAAATGAACAGGATTGTGTAAATATAATAACAAGTTTGGAAAGCATTACGTAGTTTTATGATATAGGCATAATAAGAAAGATCTTGACGTCATAAAAGGTATGAAATAAACGTTTGTCGACAAAAAAGAAGAAAAAGTGGGATGCCAATTTAAAGCTGCAGGGTTAGTGAAAGATTTTTTGACCTTATTGCACACAGGGTTCAGACCTTCTGGTATTGATTGCTACCGCTTCAGCTGCTGATAGAAGAAGTGATCGAGCTCCTCTAGACAGAATACTAGGAATACTGCAGGTAACCGAGAACGCCTGCTTTGGTTTTATCGAGTTTCCAAAATCTGCTAAGTGGGTTGGTAGTGCACTATTTACGTATTTGGTTCCCTCTTCACTCCACCATACGGGTATATGTTCACGTGAGCGCATGGATAAATCCAATATAACTAGTTTCACATGAGGAGCTGAATTCATAAATGCAAATCGATTAGGCGATCATTGGTAATTTATCCTTGTCTCACTGTATGAGTACTGCTTTATTTGATAAAGTGAGTGCCAGTTTAGCTGCAGGAAATATTCTTTTTACTGCCCTATTAAGTAGATATTTTAAGATGTCAGCTCCAATCTCCTCTTTGTAATTTAACTTCAGGTACTAAGGTTTTTTATCTGTTGTATCCATCATTACTCTATATAATTTTTAGGGAATTTCTCCGAATATTCATTTTCTTCTGGCATAAGTTTCAGTTTACACATTTCTTCCTTAATGCAATCCTCTGAACGTATGCATTTGATTCGATAACTGGGACGCTTAACTACGTCCCTTTTATAGTGAATCGGTGTGAAGCTATGAATATGGGTGTACTCATCCGTCCAAGTCTTCTTTCTAAATTGGATCCTTTGTACGTATCCATCTGTCTTCTTGGTTAGGAGAACGTCTAAGAAATTTATGCTGTTGTGGTGGTGTGATACAGACAGTGTGTTTTAACGAAATGTTATTTTCACATATTCCCATAGTTCAATACTGCATGAGCAACACAATGCTATATGTATTTGAACATTCTGTTTCATGTCGTTTAATGTAAACCAAAATCACACGCTCAGTGATTGGCTAAAGAATGTGAACTATATAGATATACATAGCTGTTTCATCACTTAAAAATATACCCTTGGCTTCCATGTCTTGCCTTCTGATGCTACACCGTAATTTTCTTCTTGCTTACAGCTGAAATGAATAGCTGGGGGGGGGACATAATTGATAGTATTCAAAAGTCTTTGTTTACTAAGATTTTTATCGTAAACGACGAAAGTGTCATCTACGTACCGACAATATAGGTCCAGCCACTCAAATGCGTCTTTGAGGGGAACATTTTCAAGTTTTACGAAGAAATTATGAGGCCCATAGTTGAGTGTATCGCAGCTCCATCAACTTGTCTAGAAAAATCGCTGTCCAACAAAAGACGAACATTTATTCACCACATCAAAAGTAACTCCCTGACCTTTTCGAGTTGGGTTCCTATATCTATGTTTCGTTCTATCAGTTAATCATATAAGTAATTAACTGTTTCAGGTGGTAGGACGTTGGTAAATGATGATACTACATCTAGTGACGTCATTTGCTTTCTGTTTATATTTAGGCTTTTGAGAATCTTTACAAAGCTGAATATGTCTTACACTGAACTTCACTAGTTCATAGTGTAAGGTTCTGGTGATTTTACTAGCTACCTCATTGTAGAATGATAGTAAGATTGATATAAACTAAATGGCTATTATTCCACCTTGTACTTGTTCAACAACACTTTCTCTTATATAGTTCTAATTTGCTATTACATGCTGAAATTAATCGATTTATAGTTGTGGAGCCTTAAGAAGAATTTATTGAAAACAAATCTTCTGTCTAATTATTCTTGTTTTGTATGCTAATCATCACATTATTAGTAGATATTTTGTAATTAAAAATATATGGGTCACAGATAATACTAATAAAAACATTCACAAATAAAGAATGAAGCGATGCCTTATTATTACTTCCCTTCACTTTTAACAGATAACTTTAAAACTATTCACATTTGATACTGTTAAAGTAAATTTAAATTTTTATATTTAGAAAATACAGATTACTCACAACCTAAATGTCAAGTAATAAAATTGAAAATACTTTACTATTCTACGTCTTCATTTGTCTCCAATAGGTGTTCCACTTGTGGAACGTGTATATCTGCTAGAGTTCTTGCACTTTGTACCTTGACGGTATTTATTTCGTCTGTCCTTCGTTATCATCGGTACTTTGATGAACTGCATTCTCCAAATTTGTACTAGAATCATATTTATTATGTATACTCCTTCTTGTATATTCACGTGCTGACTGAACTCTACTTGGTTTCTTTTCATGTGAAACAAAGTGTTTTAATTGTACATGTACAGGTTGAACACTCAGCAATCCCTTCATATCTTCCGTCTGCATTGGATGTTTTGAAAAAAAGTGGTATACAAAGGTGCTATAGCATAAGCATAATGAAAATGTAAAATAATTCACATTATGAATACCAAATGTGACTGCGGAGTTTTAAAGTTTACCATAATATGGTAAAATAATAGAAACATTTGTATAGCATACACATCAAACTGTTTAACAGCTTACCAGTTCGTTAGTTTCATAACCGGTCTTAAGCCAGTAAATGAGGGAAGGTTAAACTTGTGGCCAGCGAACCTACCCCAGAAAATCAATACGATCACTACAATTACTTCAAAACACAAGAAAAATATAAAAATGCTTATTCTTTCCTGAAATCAGACAGACGAAAAGATACCGGCTGGTGAAAGCCTCCGGGAAGCCCTTGACCTGATTTGTCTCCTCTCGATGGAGACAGAAATAAGAATGAGAAAGTGGAATTTTCTTACGATTTACGAAGCTGGGAAGGGTGCACAGGTTTTCAGAAGGATGAGAAGATATGGCACAGGAGCGCTAAGAATCTGTGACAACAGGTGGAGTGGATGTGGATTGTCAAAATTGTTTATTGGAGAGTCAGTAATCTATGAAAGCTTAACTGGGAGCAGATTACACAAAAAGGGAACTGATCATAGATTGAGTGTCTCTGGGCTAAATGAATGAGAATGAAAGAGTCTTCACAGACTTCTTCGCTTTCAATCATTTGATGATAAGAGGCAGTACGTGCAAATACAACGATATACACAAAGCAAGATGGATTTTGGACATACCACAAACCAGATCGATTTCATCCCAATCTCAAGGAAGTGGAGACAAAGCCTCTCTGCCGGATACAAAGTCTAGAAAAGGAGCAGATGTGGGATCAGATCACAAACGACTCAAGTCAAATGTTATACAAACTCGAAGACTTGTAGGTGAAAAGTATTAAACTGGCTGAAGAAGACAGGACTTCTCAGGATTATATAGGGGACATAGGTGATGAAGATAACCAACCTACAACAAACAGCCCACATACTATCAACAGAATAAATTCTAAAAGTTACTTCCTTCACTTATATAAGGAGTGTCATTTCGGATAAAGGCACACCAACGAATTAGGATGTCAAAGGCAGAATCGGAAATTCAAGCCAGAACTTTGTCGTTCTGAAATCAGTTTAAAGATCTTCTGCAATTAGAATGAAGAATAACATTCGGATTTTCAACAACAATCTCTGTAGGCTGTAGATTTGATAAACAGGTAACTTCACCAATACTGAAAATCAGATGGCCAGAGTGGATCTGAAACAAGGAACTCTAGAAACGAAGCAATTAAGAACCTATCACTCAACAAATATGTAGAAGAAATTAAAGACAGGTCGGATAGATGCTGAGGGGACTGCTAAATAAAATCATGCACGGGCAGCGCCTCGAGTGGAACTCTTGTGGGAAACGATCAGTAGGGCCTTCGAGGATGATATGCAGAAGATCGTGTGAGAAGAAGATGAAAGCTTATCGACAACCATGCAGCCAGCTGAAGAGGAGTGCCGACAGCAAGAGGAAATGGAGATGTACTGCTGTAGTCCTATCTTCAACTCGGAAACCAAGGGAATAATAATAATACATGGTGGTTATCAATAAGGTTTAGTAACATCAGAGAATTTCTTTCACTTCGTTATCTAAGTTGTTACCTACAACCATAAATAGCTAAAAATAAAGCTACTCTAAAAAGAAAGGAGAATCTCTGAAAGAAGTGAGTGAACTGTCTTAAAAACTTTTACGATGTGATGTTCAAATAGTCAAAACCGGTAATTCACTTAAAATGCTAGTTTTTGACAAAAAAGTTTTCATCCTAGTCGTAGATATACTTGGTTCGCAAGCACTTCTTTTCATTCCTTCACGTTCTCAGTGGAACATAGGGCTTCAGGCTGGGGCAGTGGTATTAAGTTTTAGAGAATGGAGTTGCTAGTTTCATGTCCAATCTTTCCCTTTGACCAGATTTTTTTATTCTAGGCTTAGAGAGGTAAAGGAGTGCGTCTGTTGGTGGGGATCGAACCCTGAACCACATGAGTAATTGACGAGCATTCTACCGCTGTGTCGCCGATGCACACGTTAGCAGGGACTACGAAGTTTGAAAATCACATTAGCCTGAGTACTGACTTTTAGTACTTAGTCCTTCCTTTCTCTCTTTTATGTTTAAAATAGGGAAGTTTATACTGTTCCTTGTGTTGATAACATTACGTAAGCATTTTGTGTCACTGGATTTCAACACGGTAAGCTGTCTCACTTCGGCACCTGAAGTTTCTATGTTTGATTTCTAATGAAAACAAAGGTACGTGTCACTGAAGAGTTACAAACTAGCATGTTCGGTGCTCTTCGGTTTTCAGTGTTTTCATAACCAATATCCATTTCAGACGAAATCAATACTGCATCTAATCTAAAATCGGTTATCTATTTTTGATTTTATTTTTTTTAATACAGCTTGATTACACACAGTATTTTTGGTACAACTATGGAATTTTCCGTTTGTGATGTCGGTAGCCTAAATTTAGCAGGCCTGTGGTGAGAGGAGGCTGCTAGCCAATTGGTAGACATTAATCTACATCAATGTCTAGTTCACTATTATTGTCCGTGAGAAAATATGAGCAACGCGGATTCAACAACCAATCACAGCAAAGTTAACGTGGGCAAATATGATTCGCAGATAGATGGCTCCACTTTTCGATGGTTACCCAAAACAACCAATCAGAAGCCTGCCAATAGAAGCTGTGTTTGTCTACTTGAATAAACTATAATAATATATGTGAAATATATATAAATACGTGTTGATTTCCGTAATAAAATGATCTGTTGCCTGGCCCTTGTCTTCTGTTGTTACAGGCCGACCATTGATATCAGGTGTGTGTCGGCAGGGGATTGAATCCCGGACTATGCGCATGGTTGGCGAGAGTCCTAATTGCTGTGCCAACGACGCACATGGGTTGTTTGAACTGATCTATTAGCGTCATCATGATAATGATATCTTTAAGATCCAACGTCTCCGAGTAAGTGACATATTGAAATCTTTTATTGCCTAGTTTGTTATATTCTTTTATGCGTTCATCATTTCTAGATAACAAATGGATCAAACCATAGCCCTAAGTCTGCGACACCACAACAACCAGTTTTCGGCACACAACATCAAAACATGGTGGATTTTATTGTCACATCCCTTTTTCAACTGATTCAGACCCTAGAATATGACAGTTTTTATTGGTTATCATTCAGTGAAGAAACTATGTACCAAAGGATTTTATTTTTATGGTAAATATCAAAAAATAGAAATTAAACTTAGCTGAACTAATTAACTGACGTCTACTTTGTATTGAAGAGCAACAGAAAGTGAAAATTTTCTTTTTACCTACTTAAATCAAAAAATAATTGTTACTAATAGATACCATATCGTCTATAAAATTCACTACAATAAAATAGTTTCCATTTTGACTGCATGTATCAAAGATAAGCTCAGCATTATGCCTGCAGCTATATAATATTTTTTATTTGGTATATATTCAACAACTCCCTGTAGGCTTATTTCTTCTTGTGCTTCTAATTATTCAATATTGAATTTTCATATAAAATTATTATTACTGGTATTATTATTATTATTATGATTACTATTACCATAGCTGTCATTATTCTAACTGCAGTTTGTTCCTGATTTATTATCTGTAATAATTAGTTGGTTAGACAAAAAAGCCACTTTAAATTACAACTTACTACAACTCTACTCTTAGTCATTCAAAAGGAAGTTTGGATGAGTAGAACTATTAATTATATATACATATAAGAATAGACCTTGTGCATTGTGGTAGAGTATAATTCCATTGTGGGTACAATTTATTTTGATAAAGTCCCACAGTGTTATACAGCATTAATTATGTACACTGTGCAATAATGATTTTTACACAAGTGTATGCTAACTTACAAGATATACTTTTGTTTTTAGAATTGGCCTGATGAAAGGCGACTTTATAGTTTCCTTTATGAATTAAAATTACCTAAATTGATTGGTAAAACATTTATAGTTTAATAGTTATTTGATGAAGGATGCTAAAAAAAAATGAGTGGGCTTGTTAAAATGGGGAAATTGGACAACAGGAATTTATTTGTCTGTCAATTAAAAATGTTTTACTTTTTATTCACCTCTTATTGTATTTGACCAATGGGTAGCTTAGATAGTAGTTGAAAGATGGCTACTAAATCAATATTCTAGTTTTTAAAGATCAGCTATGGTGTACATGATGTATTTGAAGAATAACAATGTTGCTAAGGTTTTGTTTCCATTTGGTGACATACTACTAATTGTTTGAGATGAGTAGTTATATGCCACTCATATGAAGTAGTGATGGCTGCTGGCCAGATCCTGGTGATCTAAACACCAGACGGCCTTTTCGTTCGTTTGAGACGAGTCCATCAGTGGTCTACCTGATTTCAACCGTTTCTGACGTGAGTCAAACCCGATACATTGCTAATGACAACAATCCAATCTAGTTTTAAAAGATTTCTTGCAGAATACAAGAACTATAGTTGTAATGGTGTGAATGAAATTCAACTTAATATCCATCTAAAAATGTAGGAAAACCAGTTTGTAATCATTTGAAGGTGAACTCCAAAGCGTATATAAAATAAATATGGTCAACAATTATACTGTCTTTAGTTTCTTGACTGAGTCATCGTATCAGCCTTGTAAACAAACTTTTACCGGATTATCAGTGAGCCTGTTAAATGTTTATTTATAAATGAGTGACATTGTCTCGAATAAAGGTGAAAAAATTCCATTTTCTCTATAACGCATTTTCTCCCACTACACCATAATGAAACTGCAGTAATTCAACGAAAAACATCAAGCACCAATCAATGTCAGGGGGATAAATCTACAGGAAGTAATCTCCTCTACTCATCACCTGGGCAGTATAGTTTCAACTGTATGCAACACGGATGAGGATGACAAAAACGTCAGGGTCAGGAAAGCGGGATAGACTTTCAGACCTTTTGAAATCGGTGTGGAAATCTACTGTACTCATCATTAGAAACAAAATCTGGTTCTTCAATATCAGGTTGAAATCAGTACTTCTATATGATTTAGAAACATTTGCGATTTTAATGGTCATACTGAAAGTCAAATGACCAGAAGCGACAAGCAACTAGGAACTCTGATATGTAGCGAACCAGCAAAGAATCTGTCACCTAAGAAATATGCAGAAAGACATGGAGTTAGACAGACGCTGCAAGGACCGTCGAGTGACATTAATTGCCAGACAAACACTCAAGTGGAGCACAAATTGTGAGTGACGAGTTGGGCGTCTGACGTGGCATGGAGGAGATTATGTGCGGATCAGATTATATCTAATGGACAGTCGTAGAGACAACTAGAAATGACAACAGAGAACAGTGTGAAACGGTGCTGTAGTCCTATGTTTTGCTTGGAGCCTAAATGATGAATACTAATAATAATAATAAAATTATTTCCTTTGAAACATAACAGTGTTAAACATTTACTTAATAGATGTTAAAAGTCAGGATGTGATACATTCGCCAATAATGAATTTAACAAGTATGTAAATTCGTTTCCTTCCACATATCGGTATCGGATAAATAATACACCTGCTTACTCTTGAATAAATTCCAATCTTTATATATGTCCAAACCAAGTTGATTTTTAACTGTTTGAAAAAATTTACGCGTTGGGTATATGATATTCATTATTATAAAATTTTTGTATTCCCCCAATGAACAGTACTCAATAAGCACAACATCAGACACGCTATAAAGCAACTTTGTCCATATAAAACATCAAATTCCTAAGGATTCCCTATCTAATTATGTTTACAAAGTAAAATGCTCGGAATATAATGTGAAATACATCGAACGAACGTCTCGAGAAATCAAAATCAGAAGAAATGAACACCGTGAAGCATCTGTTCGACCACAGAGAAATCCAGTTAAACTAGAAAAGCTTGATAAATCATCAGCCCTCGGTCTACACGACACTATAAATTCAGGTCACAAAAACTGATTTTGACAATATTGGAATAATTCAGAAAAATTTCAGAAATCACAAGGAATGTCCATGAGGACTTGCCAAAAGGAATATATGTTACACTATTTGAAATGAGAAATTTCCGCTAATTCTTACTATCTCAGTATCCTACTTGCTTTCTTGACCATCATTTACAGTGTCAAACAAGTCACATGTTTTAATCCCAGTATTTTTGGTTTCCAAAGGACACCAAGGTGAATTTTCACCTGGAGTTGTGTAATTAGGAAATGACTAATCTAACTCCTGCATATGCACTGTCTTTGCATTGCACGCATGATCACCGTTTCTGAGGGAAATGAAAAACAAATACTGGCATATTAAAAATTATTCGTATTCATATGATTGGTTTAGTTGAATTCCATATCACACATGATGTATGATGTCAGCTATGAAAAGAATACTCTATTTGTGGTATAATGCAAGAAGTGAATTCCAAAGTGACCTGATGGTCTACCAGCTCGCCTTGTAACCAGAAGGTACTGGATGCGAACCAGGTTAGGTGCATACTAATGGAGAGTCCTGAACTACGAAGAGAAAGCTGACTGTCAAATACTCCCAGGTTCCCAATGCTTCTCTAACTGATGAAATCCTCCAACCTATCGAACACAATCCCTACAAAACCAATGCATGAAAAGTGAATTTCACATATGTTGAAAGTCTCAATTCACACTTACCAAACTTACAGTTTTATGAGCATCGCTGGCGCTTTTTGGCCGAAATGGAATTTTTTGCAATATCTCTGACTGGCTATATTTTGTGTCTTCAGATATAATTTGATTCTGGGTTCCAGATGTTCCGCTATGATCGTGATCATCTGACATCCTTGGTGTATTTCCAGTTTGACTACCATAAATGCATAATTCATCTTTCAAGATACCCTTGATTCTACCAGCTGGTATTGAAGGTATTGAAGAGGTGCGACTAACTGGAATTATATTTTCATATGACTTTCGGGCACCTTGAGGAAAAGATTTAGGTGTGTTACATTTAAGAACTTCAACTGAGAATAGATAATTTAGATTAAAAAGTTATTAATGTAAAAATTTGAATGTATTAGTTCTTAGGTGACAAGTGACAGTCGTCCACTTTTGGTCCCTACATCCTTACAAGCCTCTTATCCTTTCTAACCTTCTAACACTTCAATAAAACTTTCTTGAATATTTTTTGTTTTACTCTGCAGTCAGCTCGAGAACCACTGGAAACCTAGGAGTACTGGACAGCTGTTTCGTCCTAGTCTGAGACTCTTCATCAGAACGCACCCACCACAGGGGTTGGAATCTGGGACCTTCTGGTTACAAAACGAGCTCGTAAACCATTAAGCCACTGGGACCCAATCCATGCCATGAATCGGAAGAAGTTGGAATTTTTGGGCTGGCTATTGGATCGAGTCCCAGTGGCTTGATGGTCTTGGAACCGGAAGGTTCTAGGTTCGATCCCCCATGATGGGTGCGTTCTGGTGAAGAGTCTCAAAACGGGACGAAACAACTGTCCAGTACTCCCTGCAGGTTTTCCAATGGTTCCTTAACTAATGTTAGTTCATGAAGAAATCCTGAAACCAACCAAACAAAATCCCTACATAACTAATACTTGAAAATTACTCCACGATCACTAGGTTGAAATTATAGACACGTTTGTTCTGATAGCTTGTGATTCTACTAAATACCTTCGGTTCACTGCAGTTACTTTATGCTTTCTGTAAATTAGTGATTATCATTCTGTTAAAGGATTATTCGTTAGCATTATTTTTAGGTAGTTTAGAGCTGCTAACCTGGACTAGCCCGCCAGACAGTCCTAAGCCCGGAAGGCAATGGGCTAGCGGCTCTACCCAAGAAAAGCGATCCAGTTATTACATAAACTTCAAAGTTGCGAAAAAACTTATTCTATTTTGGGATCGGAGAGACGAAATAATACGAGCTAGGAAAAGCTTTTAGAAAGCCAGTCAAGAGATATGTCTTCTCTCGATGAGAGCAAAAAGTAAGTATTTACTTTCCTGTGTAACTCATGTTTTGAAAATGGTGGTTTAAAAGAAAATTTCATTAAAATACCATAGTCTTATAGTAAACGAGACATAGAACAAATTGAAATATTAGTCCAGACATTGTTATATTAGTAGCGTTCAGATTTTTAGAGACATATTAATTGATCAGATATTTTTTAAATTAATTAATATAAATTTGACAGAATTAAAAAACATATTAGTCTGGTGGAGTCTTTTAATTTTGCTCTATATTTGAAGGGAAACACTTGACTTAATAATTACTTTTATGAGATAATTGAAAGTTAAACAAAATACACTCTGTAAACTTAAAGCTTTCGAGTTGAAGCAGTTTATAAGTATAAGGAAATAGGTCCTCAGTCTAGGTAATAGGCTTGACAGAATTCAGTGTGGAAGTGTCTCTTCAGCCTGAGATTCCAGAGTTTTCAGCATTCGTATGACGTCTATTTTACTTTGAATCTGCTCAGCTTGTAAATATTCTTCATGTATTGGATTTAAGAGGTCTCATTAATTTCGTCACGTTGTCTTCTACTCCACAGGTCAAGCCTGGGTCGCTTGGTCGTGAGGCAGCGATCCTAACAACTAGACAGATTGCTAACTGGAGACATTTACCGTGAAATTGTGGTTAGTCACCTGCATTACAAGATTTTTGTCTTTTTTTTTTCCTTCACGTTCCCCAGTGGAATATAAGGCTTCAAGCTGGTGGCTTGAAGTTTCTGTAGCAGTGTTTATTTTTACAGGATGGGGTCGCTAGCCTTATACCCAACTTTTCCTCTTTACCAGTCTTATTACTGGCTAAGTGAGATAAATGAGTGTGTCTGTGGCCGGGGATCGAACCCCGGACCATGTGCGTGGTCGTGTTTATTAAGAGAAATAAACATGCGAGAATGAAAAATACAGTTTCATAGTCCCACATTAACACAAAATAGTTTGAAAAGCGTAAAATCTTAATGAAACAACAGATCAATATTTTTATTGTCACTTCATGTCAACCAACGGAAGTTCCAGCTAAGTTCATCAAGTTATAAGTGTGAAGAAAACTACTCGCTGATGACATTGGTTGGTGGTCACGATATATGTAACGAGTCGGCAGAGGTTAAGATTAATGGAATAATCATTGAATTCCGTCCCAGTGGCTGAACAAAATACAAGCTTATACCATAACCTGAAGGTCCTAGGTTCGGTCGCGTGTGGGTTGAGTCATGGGACGAGGGGGGGTTGAAGTGGTGAAGGGTCACGGACTAAGAAGACACAACTGTGCAGTACTACTTCCTGAGTTTCAAATAGTTCTCTATCAGTAGTCTGTTAGTGATCAAGTAAGAAAAAAAATTTGCCTACTATTAGGTCCACGAATCGGGCGCAATTCCGAGAATGACATGGGCAAGGGTTCGTGTGAAGAGGAGGAGGAGGGAATGAAAACTTACGGGTAATCATGGAGTCAAATAAACAACAATTAGGCACAGAATGAAAGTGAAAACTTCACTTTGGTAATCTACGATAACCTTACAGTATCAGTAATGCGGTCGTACATGTTCTTCAAAAGGAAGTAAGTGAAGTAATGCAAATTGACACAGATTACTGAACTGTATTCACTACTCACTATGTCACAGTCCAACTAACTCCACTATATTTGATGAATTGAAATTAGATTACAAAATAAATTCCTATCTAAGACACACTTAATCAATTCTTGAAGTTAGTGATACTAAATCCAGGTTCACAAGAAATATACAAGATCCCTACTCGATATGTAGTCAACCTGTTAACAACAGATATACAGTGTGGAAGAAAAGCTAATGATACTAACCTTGACTTAAACAACCAATCAGATTAAGATGTACGACTGTTAGTAGCTCTTCATCACAGAGACAGAAATACACACCTTGTCTCCACAGTGCAATGATTTTAGCACTTATAATAAAACTATCTGGTGAACAGTTGTAGGTATTAAATAGCCTTTATTAGCAATTTTACCCCTTTCTTCAACTATTATTTACTCATTTCAAGGTCACTTGGAAGGCTATTTGGATATGCAACTTTTCCTTAACGTTACCCAACAGTCAATACATGAAAATCCAATATGAATTAGCTAAGAAACTGACTTAATTAGTTTAAATATATTTCTGTTCATTAACAGATAAGCAATTTTAAACAACACATTCAGATTTATTATAAAAACAATGATAAGCATTACAGGATGCTGCATCTGTATTGGTCACCAGATTGTAGTTAGCTCGTCTATCTAGTCATGAGTTTTGATCATACATTTCTCACCATATTTACTGAAGAGCGTGTGTAAACAATGTTCTGAATTCACCTTCTAATTGTTACAGATAAATTTTATTCAACGTGCTAACTGAATCTAGACACTTATCAAATATACATTTTAGTAAACATAACAAAACGTTGTACATTGAATTTTAAACATTTAATTATGACATACAGTTTGTGTTGGTATGCAAAAATAAACTGATTGAGAAAACAAGTTGTTCCAAAAAATATTTTTATTTTGAACACAGTTTTATTTTAGTGTAAATTAAAGTAAGTCAGAAATTCTTCTGCAGAGGAAGAGAGACATTCGTATATTTTCGAGTATTGGTTTTGTAGGGATGGAGATTTTCCCTTTGGGTTGACATCAGTTAGAGAGTAACTGGAAAACCTGGGTATACTGGACAGCTGTTTCAACCTAGTTTTGGAGTCTTCATCAGTATGCACCCACTGAAATCAAGATCTTTTGATTACAAAGCGACTTAGGTTTCGTGCTAGTTGGCGCTCGTCAGCAAGGCGTATCTAGAACCTTGATGGAATTCATATATATATATATATATATATATCAGTTTTCATAGTACTTCACAAACTCATAGCAGCACAAACAGTATACTATATTCCAAGATAAAGTAATCGTCTTTCAGCTTGCCTGGAAACCGGGAGGTCCTGAGTCCAAACTCTGCTTGGCGAATCTTGGAAGAAGAGTCTTAAACCAGGAAGAAAAAACTGTCCAATTTTTCTTTCGTTTTCCGATAGTTCTATGACTAAAGTCGGCGCGTGATCAAATTTGCAAAAGAAAATCAGATTCCTTACCAACCAACTATTGAAAATTAGTGGATGCTGAAATAATGGGTTACATAACTATAAGCTGAAAGCATTGTTAAAGCCGAATTCGTTTATAAAACAATCACTGATGTTTATCGGTCTAATATCAAACAATCTAAGCAACTGGAATGTAATTCAATCACTGTGCATATTTTTAACCATCATTATATTCTGAGTGGATGTCTTCTATTTCAGGTGTAGCTGTAACAACTACTTTATAACTAAAATTTTGAAGGTCAAGGAATTAATTTATCAAAGGAAAGAACTGTGACACACACAGTAACGTATTTAAATCTAATACGTATGCACCAAAATAATTGGTTTTAAAATCCCCCATGAACAATCTATTCAGAGTATTAATGTTTATTTAAGACCACTTAATACTGTAAATACTACACTTTTCCCCTGAACAGTATACTATAGTTCTAAAGTTGGTATAAATCATTTCGACCTAATCTTTATTATTTGTTTTACCTTTTGGCCCATCCACATTTATAAAGTTCTACTTTGCATTTATGTAATTGAGCTGATAGTAATATATTGTCTAACGACTGTGATTTTGTTTAAGTGGTTTCAAGGCGTGGCTACATGACCCTGATCTGTCTACAGGATACAGGATTCTTGTAGACAGCGTTTTGATCCCATCTTGTCGGGAATATTTTCTGTTGATTCTCAGGTAATTTACAACTCCGTCTGATCAGTTTATTTGGTTGTACAGTACACATTTTGTACTTAAGAAACTTATGCACTATAAGGCTGATAGACCTGGTTGTTGAGGTAGTCTTCTATTTTTATATAATTTATTATTATTGAAGAGTGCCAGAGATTATTTCAAATCAAAGTGTTTTTTGATATCATTAAAACTTATT